TTGAACCTAGGGTTTCATGCATGCTAGGCAAGCACTCTACCAATAAGCCACATTCCCGGCCATTGACCTTCTTTTCTACTCTGCTTCTGACTCAAGTTCAATGCTGGTTAAGCCAAGGAGGTCATTGCTCTGCACCTGTGGTGATAACGATAATGATGTAATTTGCTTTTATGCATTTTAGTGAATGCTTTATTTTCATTACACCTTTTCTATGTGCATTTTAATCCAGACTTTGTAGTGGTATTTTTAAGAACTGCCCATAAATCCTCTAACATGATGAATTATAATAAATGGCAATTTTATCCAGAGGTGGACGATCGTCAAATTCTTCAGTGAAGGTAGAGAAATGTGATGGGTACCGTTTTCTTGCAATGGTATTATTTAAAGGTAAATATCGAGAAGGAATAGAAATGCTTCTCAATAATTCAAATTCAACTTTCAGACCATTTTGAGAAGCCATTGACCACAATGCCTAAAAAAATCAGAATAAAGTATGCCAGAAGGTTTGGAGATCTGGAGACATCTTTTGTCCAAGGCCTTTGAGTGATCTAGTTCCCCAGTTAGGGCCAAAGCAAGAAGCTTACAGTTCAGTGGGTTTTCTGTAGATATAGTTTCCTATAAAACTATACCTCCTACTAAATTATTATACTGTTACAAATGGAAATAAGAAAACTTTTCTGGTAGGGTACATATTTTTAAAATCAAAGTGATAAACAACAGTGTTTCAAAATGTGACTCAGGGGTTGGGGATTTAGGTCAGTGGAATAGTACTTGCACAGCAAGTGTGAGACTTAGAGTTTGTTCCTCATCTCTGCAAAAAATTAACAAAAAAGGAAGGGGGAAATGTGGCTATTTTTTACAGCTTGGTATCTGTTTATGAAGCTATGAGGCATTTGCAATTCTTTATTTAATTTTTCTTTCTTTCTTTATTTGTTTTATGAGAATACTGTACAGAGGGGTTACAATTACATGGGCAAGATAACGAGTACATTTCTTATCAAGCATTGTTGCCTATTACAACTTCATTTGATAATTTTGATGTTGCAGAAATTGAATAGACTTCTAAAATTTTAGCAAACAGGAAAGAATATTTTCCCTGTTTAAACCTAATTTCATATATTGAGGAAAATGAAGCCCAAGGAAATTGACAGATCTTGCCATGCTTACACATGATTTTTACAAGTGTAGGTGACTGCAAAATACTTTCCATAACTCCAAACAGCCTTTTTATTAATTTACAGAACTTAACCATTGTGCCATCTAGCATATTCTAAGTGCTTACCATATATCAGGCATTGTTCTTTATAGTGCAGTGGTTTTTTTTTTGGGGGGGTCCGGTTGTGGGGCCTGAACTGTGGGCCTGGGCGCTGTCCCTCAGCTCTTCAGCTCAAGGCTAGCGCTCTACCACTTGAGTCATAGTGCCACTTCCGGCTTTTTTCTTTTTGCTTATGTCGTGCTGGGGAATCGAACCCAGGGCCTCAGGCATGCAAGGCAAGCACTCCACCACTGAGCCACCTTCCCAGCCCTATAGTGCAGTTTTTTTTAAAAAAAATATTATCCTCCCTAGAAAGTACAAGTTTATCCTCAATTACAGATGCAGAAACTAACATTTTGGAAGTTGAAGTAAGCTGGTCAAAGCATAGACTTCTCAGTGAGGAGTGGTTGAACTAGCATGGAATGGATCATCTGACTCAAACCTCAACACTGATTTACTTTCTTTTCTACAAGACAATACATCAGCTCTAAGCAGTCAGGATAATAAAAATGTCTTACCTCTTTGCTGTCTCTGTTGCCTGACATGCTCCGAATCTCCTTGTTATCCAGGTTTTCTATATCAGATTCTCCTGAAGCAATTGGTACAGTTTCTGAGGTACTAAAGCTGGGCCTGAGTGACTGACTCTCATTTTCAGTCAGTGGTGTTTTCTCTGTGCCGTTGCTTTTGTCCTTATCTTTCAGGAAATCTTGGGTGTAGCTCAGTTCAGAAAGTGTGTGGTCAGAAATATTCTCTTTAAAATAAGTGTCACTCGCACGGTCTATTGTTTCCTTTGGAACATTTTGCTTTTTGCATAACATTTTACTAAGGACATTGCTCATTCCTTTCTTCATCTTTTCCATTGCCTGCTGGATGTTTTTTATTTCATTGCTCTCTCTGGTTGTAACATCCTTACATGAGCTAAATGAACTCACCAATGCCACAAACAGGTATAGGACCTAAACAAAATTTAAAATGAGATAAAATCGCTTACTTTTTGCTTTATTTTAAATAAAAGAAAATGATCTAAAAAGTCTGACATGAGATTTGAACAGAAACATATGAACTCCGCTGCTATCCAGTCATATTCACTGATTATGTGTCAGGTGCAATACTAACAGTTCCTATGGCCAAAATGCATTTTAAACTCTGAATATCCAAAGCATCATTATTGGTTCTCTTTGCAGGATGAAAACTTCTAGGCTTAATGGATGTCAAATGCCAAAGGTCAAACAGATTATACTTAATTCTCTTTTATTCTAAAATGTATTTTATTATCAAGGCAGGCTGATTTATTCAAGGTAAAAACAGGTATTGCAGCCCTTATACAGCCGTGCAGACACAGCTTTGTAAAACAGAGGATTCAACCATGGAGCAACTATTCATGGTGCTGAAGAGGTTGTTTTTGAGACGTGCAAACACAGACATTAGGGAGGTTAGTGGATTTTCTTTGGAAAACATTTGCTCAAATAAGAAATAGATAATGATAAAGGGATCACTCTTGATTCACTATTTAAAGCTAAGGAATAGCATCTTCTAACTTTAATATCATTGAGAAAAATGTCCAAGCAAGTTTGCAGAGATAGAGATTTTGATTTTGTTTGAAATTTTAGGGCATAGAATATATTTTTGTGCTGTACTATTGCAGATTCACATTTACTACTAAGATTTAAAATAATAATTTGAGCATTTGACATTACGAAGGATTTCCCTATTGTTTTAGTTATTTGAAATTTTGATTTATTTTGTTGTAAATATTATTAGATTTTTCTCATCTTTCTGTTAATTTTGTTTTTTTTTTGTTAATGGGCTTACATGAAATATTTTCACCCACTTAGTATGTGTTATTTGAGAGGAGAAAGTTCAAATTGCATGCACTATGCTTAACAATGTATATGTTTTCCTATTTACACTTCCATATAGACTCACATAATAAATACTTGTCTACTTGTATTTCAGATTTCTTTGCATACTAAAGTCTAAATTTAAAACATTTTTTGCCATTTGTATTTATATATAATATGTGGTTATTTCTTATTCCTGCTTTGTTTGCTTAAAACATAAGCCTAGTGACCCAATAAGGGAAGATGGTGGGCAAAGCATAATGACAGTTCAGTCATAACCACATCTCTAGTAGACAAACACTGTTAGGGAGATGCAAGTAACAAATGAATACTCAAATGTACAATACATTTGTTCTTGCTAGGATTCAGAGAATGAAAGTATGCTGTGTGCCGTATGCTGGTTATGTTTTCATGAGACTGTAAGATTTTTTTTCTTAGACAATGCATCACACATATATCCAGCCAGATATAGGGAGAGGATTAAAAGAAATGTATTTAATGTTAAAAGATCCAAATGATCCAGAACAGCACTATAAGGAGTGAACTTCAAAGCATTGCATACTCCTGTCGCTTTGATTTGATGTGTTGCGAATTGAAAAATAACCTCAACTTTTAAAAGCACAAAAAGAAAATACTGGCTTGTAAATGTCAGAGGATATGAAGGATCACTTATTTATTCTGTGTTGGCAGTTAATTTTTAGAAAGACAGAAACCCTATCATTATCATAGCATATACTAGCTTCCTTTTTTTAGCACTATTACAGTCAGAGTTAAAGGAAATATTTAGTATGTGTGCTGAGTTGAGATAAAATAACTGGCCATAAAGCAAACTATTTAAAAATTTCCCCAGAAAATTGCTCTTACCTTCCTTAAATATAACCACATATTGAGTGAGAACTGAGTACGTGTATCAAAATAGTGGCACAAACAAAAAACAAATACAAATTTGTTTCAGTAATTCTTTAAATCAGACATAAACATATAGTAGGGATCTGACAAATATTGAAATACATTATTTTAATATTATGTCAATTATATTTACATATATTTAACTTGGCAATGTGTATATATATGTGGAATAACAAATGTATGATTTAAAAAATTAATATCCATTTTTATAAATCTATTTCTTTTCTTTTCCTGTTTGCATTCCTATTGTTTGACTTATGGAACCATAACCATAACCAGGTTCAGTGATTGATAACTGTCTAAATCATAGGTATACATGGAAATAAAGTATGTATGTAAGAAAACAATAGCTCTAAAATAGGTTGCAAGTATAGCTCAAGCTGTAAAGATGAATAATCAAGTCCAGAAAGTGCAAGAATGAATTAAAGCTTCAGTACCAGGTGAAAAAGAAAACAAAGTTCTGAAAAACGTTTTATAAAATTATAAATTATTAAAAATAATTTTGATTCTGAGGTAAAATTTTTGTATTATATGTAAATGCAAACAAACATTATAAATTAAGCATAGAGTACTAGATTATTTCACTTAGTTACAAGAACACTGAATCAGGCATTACAATTTTGCTCAATGTCTCACTAAATGTAGTCACATTTAAAGAAGCTAACTTTTATGGTTGTTTTAAGGCTTCTGAGGAAAGCACTTGATCTTTATGACATAAGAATAAAATGAAAATATTGGATTTTTTCCTGTAACAACCATTTTTATAAGCCATATCCTTTTCTTAGAAGTAGTAAAAAAATTATTCAATTCATATAACACAGGTTCGATTATAGGGGGAGTTTAAAGTAAAAGCTTACACTGCAAGATAATGAATAACAATTTTACAACCTTTATTACACATTTAGTTGTGAGATTTTTTTTTTAATTCTGAACACCATTGCTATGTTCACATAGCCATAAAACCAGAATCTCTGGGAGTGGGTTCAAGACATCAGTATATTATCTGTGATTCCCGAGGTAGTTCTATGTGCAGGCAAGTTTGACAACCAGTGTTATATTTAAGTGCTTCTTAAAACATAATGGGCAGACAAATCACCCCAGGGCTATTGGTAGAATACATGATGCTTCTGTATATCTGGGATGGGCTCCGAGAGACTGGATTGCTTACCAACCTCCCACATGATGCCAGGGCTACTTCAAGTAGCAAGGTCACAAACTTACTTCATAATGGAAAGGCGATGCAAGTCACATATGCACTTATCACAAAAAAGCAATTGTAATCAAATATAACTGAAATTAATTTTGCACATGGAATTGTTTGAACTAAATATATCTATATTCGCATAAGCATTATTTAAAATACATTCAATATGAAAAAATCCATTATGCAAATTATTAATGGCAAAATTGACATTCAAACACAGATAAGAATTTAAATTCAGTGTGTATATATTTTATACTTACTGAACATCTCACTTCACAGCAGTCGTTTTTCACCTGGTAATATCCATATGGGCATAGTGGGAGATCACTGGGTCTCTGTCGATCCGTAACACAAAAAATGCCAGTCTACATTATAGCATGCTTTTCAAGGAAGAGGTAGAAGCATAGCATACTTACCAATAAATTTCCAATTAAAATGACCATCAGATAAAAAGGAATGCACCAGGATGGTCTTGAAACTGCCATGCAGTCCCACAAGGTCTCTATCCACTCCCCACAGAGAATTCGGAACACATTCAAGTAGGAGTGAAAGAAGTCAGCCATGTGCCAGCGTGGAAGGTGACAGTCTATGTCTATGAGGCAGACATAATTTGTATAGCTCCAACTAAACAACTTCATGCCAAATACAGCAAAAAAGAAGACAAACAGAAGCAGCAGGAGGACCAGGTATTTCAAGGCTGTCAGGGATTTACTAAGATTCAGCATGAGAATTTCAAATGTTGGCCAATATTTCCCCAACTTGAAAATTCGCAACTAGTGGGAAAACAATATGGAAGACAAAAATAAGAAAAATAACAATAAGGAAAAAACAATAAAATGGCTAGTATTTTTTTTACCTTGTACATGTTTAAAGTTTGTGTCAGCATGTTACACATATTCTTCATATATAGTCTTGAAAGAAATATTGTCAAGCATTATTAATACTGACCACTGCATATTTACTCTATGCATATTGTTAATACATCTTACAAATGCAAGAATTTTGCAGATTGAATCTAGATGCATCATCTTGGTTTTATGTACTTGTCAGTGACTGTTCAATATTACAGTTAGTACAGTTTTATGTTTAAATATCTAGTAGTGTTCTCTGTTTTTGCTTTTCACATTGCATTGGATATGTTTTTTTGCTTTTTTGGGTCCAGTCGTGGGGCCTGAACTCGGCCTGGGCACCGTCCCTCAGCTCTTCAGCTCAAGGCTAGCACTCTACCACTTGAGCCACAGCACCACTTCCGGCTTTTTCTTTTTGTTTATGTGGTGCTGAGGAATCGAACCCAGGGCCTCAGGCATGCAAGGCAAACGCTCTACCACTGAGCCACCTTCCCAGCCCTGCATTGGATATGTTTTCACATATGTTCTGCAGAAGATATTGGGAAATGTTTGTCAGGCTCCAAATTAGAAGAATATCACAGGGCCTACTATGCATTTCCGTTTATTGACGGTCTAATACAACATTCTGTGCTTTGTCAAGTATTACTATTATTTTATCACATTTTCAATTTATCTTTCAGTGTATCTTTGTTTGCTACATCACTGTCTACTTTGTTATCTAGCATCCACGATCCTCCTACTCATGTCCTAATACATTGCTTGGGTGACAAGTATATGCTACCATGCTCTGCTAATTTATTGAGATGGAGTTTTTGCTAACTTTTTGCCTTAGTTGGCCTCAAAACTCCATCCTCCTGATGTCTACTTCCCATCTAGTTGGGACTGTAGGTGTGAGTCACCATCACAAACCCCCATAAACAGTTTTAATACGTTCTGTACCTTCCCTAATTTTCTAGTGTGTAGCTAGTTTTCTGAACTCAAGATTTTCCTTTTACCCTGTAAAATTTCACCTGTTAGATTCAGTTTATGGATAGTCTTTAAGATATTTTTATATTCCCTTTTAGAGGATTTTTTTACACCCACTTCTTTTTTCACTTATAAATTTAGTGACCACGTCCTATATACATTTTGCTTCTTCAGTAAATAAGCTTATGAAGAAGTCAGACATCGTTCTGAAGAAGATGCCATAGAGGAAGAAATTTCTGGATAAAAATCAAATCTGCTTAATTATTCTTGGTTCCTGTGACATTTTTCTACTCTGCTATCAGAAGGCAACAATAAATTACTTATCAAAGGTTGAAACTTTCTCCAAAGACTATCCTAATATCATTGTCTTTGCTTGATATTTTGATTCACATCACTTCCCTGGACTTTTCAAAATAGTATTTTACTTCTCATACTTCTTTGTTTTAAAAATAAAACTTTCTCCCCTCTGTTTAGAATATTTACCTGATTTGAGTTTCTCAGTTGCCACTTCTGGTATCCTTCACTGTATTGCTTTTGAATTTTAGGCTGTCTGTCACCCTGGCTATGTTTCCCATAACTACACTTCCAATATCCAATGCATTTGACTTGATTTCCTTTAATTCTTTATCCAAATGACAACACAAAAATGTCTTACTCTTTCTTTAAGATATTTATATATGAGTTACTTCATTTCATGGTGTTACTGCTCCAGTGGAAATATTTTATGTTCAAATTGTCATTTTTATCTCTGAGAAAACAGAGAGAGTAATTCTTCTAAAACAAAAGTTAAGTCATGGACTTACCGTCCTGAATGAGCGCAGAAGATCTATTCCTTCAATGTTTGCTAGATAAAGTTCAGAGACACCAAGGAATACCACTATGCTATCAAAAATGTTCCATCCTGCTTGAAAATATTCATATGGATGCATGGCTATTATTTTAAAAATCATCTCTGCTGTAAAAATTCCAAGGAAAACCTAAATAAGAACAAAACAGGCAAGAATGATTCTGATGGCTACATCAAGATAACAGAAACTTAAACATGCCTTGCCATTTTCTTCATGCTTACCCCTAAGGATCTGGTTAGTTTTGTGGCTGAATTACCATGACAGATGCATACGTGTTGCCTAACAGTCTAGTGTTAGATAATGTACATGGAACATTAGCCATTCTTGACGCAAAAAAAAACTTGAGAGCTAAAATAAAAAACATAGCATTTTAAGTAGATTCTTTTTTGTGATATGGAGCATACATCAAAGTATTGATTTCAATCAGACAATAAAAAGACATATATGTTGCAGAAAAATAAGCTCCATTAGCACAGATGATTAGAACAGGTGGGTTAAGTGCTACTGTTGATAGGATAGCTCTGAGTTCAGGTTTCAGTGGATGAGTAGAAATTAAAAGAGACATAGTTTGAGGACAACCTGGAACATGAAGTTAGCTAGACCTTATCTCAATCAATAAATTTTACATGGCAAATATTCTTAGCCAATAATTTTTACCTCACTGCCAAGTAGCTGGCTCAGAATCCTGAATTTAAATGACATAACTTTAATCTCTAGTTGTAAAACTATCAAGAATAACATCTACAAGGTGGGGGAGGGAGAGGAGTTGTGGTAGAGCATGAATATCTATTATCTAACAATAATTCCATAATGCATGTCTATGTATTTGAGTTATAAAATTCAATATTGAAGATAATAATGAACCAAGAAACCTTGAAAGCACAAATGAAAATAATGGAAATCTTACCATGTTTCCAATGCTAAGAAGAGAGAAGGTGCTCTCGCTCATTGGATAATGTTCCCAGGCCAAAAAACATATGTTTAAAATGATACATACGATAAGGAAAAGATCACTGAAAGGAGACATTATTATCTTATGGAAAAAATCTCTCAATTTTAACCAACAAGGAGAGCAATTCCAGATCAAGAAACTTTTAGCAAATTTATGACAATACAATGGGCATCTCTTTTTGGATTTTTTATGGTCTGAAATAGAAGAATAAAAAAGTCAAATAGTAGAAAATTGTCTTATTTTTGTTTTTAATCTTTTTATTATATAAATTTTAATTTTATTGTCAAGGTGATGTATATAGGAGTAACAGTTACATAAGTAAAGTAGTGAGTACATTTCTTGTTGAATTTGTAGACCCTCCCTCATTTTTCTCCCACTTAAGAAAATTGTTTAATTTTAACTTTTTTCATTCAAAGGGAAGCTTGAGACTAGACCTCTGACTTGGAGTTAGGAAACAGAA